AAAATCTTTGTGCAGCTGAGAGTGGCATTGTTATGCACGTGACAGCGCAGTTTTAGATTGGCTAGTCCTTCGGTCACGAGTTGGTGAGAAGGACTGGGGGTCTGATGCTGCGTCCTTCACATATGTCATAAACAAAATATCCAAAAAACTCCAAATTTCATCATAAATTTAGGCCAAAATGTATTCTGCTACATGCTTTTGGTTAAAAAAATCCCAATAAATGTATATTGATTGCTTTGTGTGAAAGTTATAGCGTCTACAAACTATGGCATAGATAATTGAATTTACACAGCTTTTACTTTCTGACTGCCCATCGCATTTCTTGAGGTACTAAAATACCAGGATAGTACAAACACCCCCAAATGACCCCTTTTCAGAAAGTAGACACCCTAAGCTATCCACTGAGGGGCATGTTTGAGTCCATGGAAGATTTATTTCTTTTCCACAAGTTTTTGGAAAATTAAAAACTTTTTTTTACACAAAGTTGTCATTTTTAATTTATATATTTCTCACACAAGCATGGGTATATGTGGAATTACACCCCAAAATACATTCTGCTACTTCTACCGAGTATGGGGATACCACATGTGTGAGGCATTTTGGGAGCCTAGCCACATACAGGAGCCTGAAATCAAACCACCTTGAAAGCCTGAAGGTGCGTAACTTCCTCATTTCACTTCCTCACTACCTATCATAGTTTTTCAGAGGCCCTGAAATGTTCGGATAGCACCAAACCCCCTCAAATTACCACTTTCTGGAAAGTAGACATTCAAGGAATTTAAAGAGAGGCATGGTGAGTATTTTGCAGATCTCACTTTTTGAAATATAAAAAAAGAAAAGAAAAATAAGTTTTTTTTTTTTTCTTTCTTCATTTTCCAAAAACTTGTGGCAACAAATGAAATCTTCAAAATACGCACCATGCTTATCAAATTCCTTGGGGTGCCTACTTTCTAAAAAGGGGTCATTTGAGGTGGGGTTTGGTGCTATCCTGGCATTTTATGGCCTCCGAAAACTGATAGGTAGTCAGGAAGTGTAATGAGAAAATAAAGCCCTTTAAAAGCCTGAAGGTATATTATTGGATTTTGGGGTCCTGTACTTGGCTAGACTACCAAAAAAAAAGTCTCATGTGGTACCCCCATACTCGGGAGAAGTAGCAGAATGTATTTTGGGGAGGAATTCCACATATAGCTATGCATGTGTGAGCAAAAAATCATTTTAAGTGACCATTTTGTGTAAAAAAAAAAAAAAAAAAAAAAAACATTCTTCCAAAAATGGGTCGTTTTGGGGAGGTGGATGCATTTTATGCCCAGCATTAGAAGTTTAAGCCATACATCATTCACTATTCTAACCACCTGAAGACCAAACCTTTTCTGATACTTTTTTTGAACCCATTAAAAAAATTGTTTGCTAAGAAATTACTTTGAACCCCCAAACATTACAATTTTTTTTAAAACAGACACCCTAGTGAATTTTAAATGGTGGGTGCTGCAATTTTTTTATATCACATACTACGCAGCGATTTTTCAACCGCAAATGTTTTTTTAAAAAACACACTTTTTTTACTTTTAATGCTCAAAAATACAATATTTTGGCCAATTTGGTACAATATAAAAGATATGCCGAGTAAATAGATACCAAACATGATATGCTTTAAAACTGCGCATGCCCCGTGCAATGGCGACAAACTGCGTACATTTTTTAATATCCATAGGCAACTCTTTAAAAGCCTTTACAAGCTACCATTTTAGATTTACAGAAGAAGTCTAGTGTTAGAATCACTGCCCTTGACCTGACGTTTGTGGCGATACCTCACATGCATGAAGCAACTGCTGTTTACATACAGACACACGGGTCAAGGCTCACGCACGCAGGTGGAGGCGAGGGTGCTTTTTATTATTTTTACTGTCCCTTTTTTCTATTGGATCATTTTTAATGCTATCACAGGGAATGCAAATATCCCCTATAACTTCAATGGGCATTGTCATATATTATTTTTTAAGAAATCTGGGCTCTATCAGGCTCTAGATATCTCATCTGCCCTTACATTATCTAATCTCACCAAGATCGGTGTGATCAGATGCTTTCCAATTTACAAATGGTGCTGTTTAAATCCTGCGAAACTGAAGTGATGAAATGCTCATATCTTCTGTTTGCTTAGACTATAGAGATGATTGGCACCATTCCGGTCTCCAGTCAGCTCTATGGTCATCTGGCAGAAACACCAGCTGCATTCTCAGGTTCCCCCGATGGCACAGGACTGCCCTAGAAGGCTGTGAAAGGCAGCGGGGGAGAGGGGGCATCGTTTCCCGCTGGCAATCCTGCAGCTAATTAGCCACTAGGTTTGCTTTTGCATGAAAACCAATCGCCGGCTGAAAATAACGATACCAGGATGATGCCTGCAGCTGTAGGCATCATCCTTGTATAACTATTCATAGTCGCGTGATGTACCAGTACGTCGCTGGTCCTTGTTGGGTATATATGCTATGTTTTTTTTTTTTTTTTTTTTTTTTTTTTTTTTTTTTTTTTTTTTTGCGTGTGTGTGTGTGTGTATTGCCTGTGGGCTGAAAAAAAGAGAAGAAATCTCTGCTAGAAAAAGTGTGTGGTATGCCCACTATTAGAATATACCGCCCTGCATCCACCCACTTCTAATGGTGGGCACACATTAGGTTGCACGGTGCCACGTGCGCCAATTCCAAGATTGTACATATGTCTAAATAGTGGCACGCTTGAATAAAAATTGTCCACGTATAAGTGGTATCCCATATGGAAAACGGATGACACCAAGTCCCAAACTATCTTGCTACTGCTCCCCATGTAGTCTGGGCATCCAGGGGGCACCACGTGACTATCTTTTTTTCTCGTAAATCCAGAGAGTATAGACATCTGCAAATTTTCGGTTAAGATGATTTACGAGGGGCCGAATTTTGTGGAGCCGATCAAATTCAGGGTCACCTCAAGGACGACAGAGTGTGTTGTCGTTGAAATGCATAAAACACACATTATACTCCCATATCTATGCCTGTCCATGGCAGCAAAAAAGAACACGGGCATTTGATGAATCAGGTCTGTGGACCAATACAACTGGAATTAATTTTTTTTAGTAATGCCCATGTTGAGGGTGAGGCCCCAAAAAAATATTTAAATTTGGTTTCCATGTGAATGGTCTGGCAAGGTTTGAATTTGGGTTGGCGGCAATAAATTGTTGTGCATATAAAATTGCTTTGATCCACAATCAATGCATACAGATCTTCCGTGAAAAACAGCTCCAAAAAATCAAGGGGAGTAGTTAAATTTGCTGTTTCCACCTGAATTCTGGGTTGGACAGTGAATGGGGGGGAAGTACGGGTGCTGATTCTGCGAGCAGTGCGGTTTTTGTGTGCAATGTATCAAGTGACAGTGATCTACTGACACTGTACTTGCTGGGTGTAGGGGCTAAATGCAGGTGTCAGGGCTGATCCCACCAACGCTGCGTGTTTTTGAGGACACTATACTAATGTGAACACTGGTATAGTACTGATCTGATCAAAGATATATTGATCCATTCAGACACTATACTAGCAATGGAGGTTTATTGTGTATGAGCGTCTTCCTGGCAATCAAGGGGGGCGTTAAATGTGATTACTGGTGTACTGACGGCAATCTGACGCTATCTGGGAAGGGCATGAAAACCACAGGAGCGCTAATCACGTGTATATATACGTGATTTTGTGCACCCTTGTTGGCCTGTAGCAGTATTTCTGCTATAGGGGGTCAGGAAGCAGTTACAGATTTGGGTTTTAGTTTGGTGCGTTACAGTTTTTTTTTGCGTTTGGTTAGTTGTTTTTTAACTAGGGGACAGTTGTTTTTTTGTTTCATGCAACGCTGCACCCCTTTTAAATTGTTGTGGTTGGTGGGGTGTGTGTTGGGGGTTTTTTGGGGGGGTTTTTGGTTGGTGTGGGGGGGGGGGGGGTCTAAAAAATTGTAAAATCTTTATTTAAGTGTACATTTTTTGCGCAGTAGTCATTTTGAAATTTTTTTGCTAGGTTTTAGTAAAAAAATGTATTTAGGCTGCTACGTCTTTGCTAAAAAAAAAATCCCAATTCGTCTAAATTAATTGGTTTACATGAAAGTTACAGCATTGACAAATGGCGGTGTATATATACTGGTAATTTTTTTTTTTTTTTTTTATATATATATATATATAATATATATATATATATATATATATATATATATATATATATACATACTAATAATGACAGCGATCAGTGACTTATAGCGGGACTGCGGCGGGCATTCTGACACTGGGGGGAAGTGACTTGGTGTCACTGACATCTCCAGTGACACCAATACAGTGATCAGTGCAAAAAAAAAAAAGCACTGACGCTGTACTAATGGAACTGGGGAGGAAGGGGTTAACATTTGGGGGCAGTCAAAGGTTAACTGTGTGATGGCAGTGTTTTACTAGGTGCTGTAAAGCACACTGATTGGGATGCCTGTGCTCCGCCATCCTGATAACTGTGCCCAAACTAACAGGGAGGAGGGCTGCATTGTAAACAATGCAGCCCTCATCCCTGTCGGTACTCATCCGGGCGCCGGCGGGTAATCACCGATCGGGAGCCGGTGATTGACACTGTGTACTGTGGCCTTAAGCAGTTAAAATGGTTGTAAAGTTATAAGGTTTTTTTTACCTTAATGCATCCTGTGCATTGAGGTAAAAAACCACCTGCAGTCTGCTGTCCTCCTAGTTCCGCCTTATATTTACCTGAGACCAATTTTTCGATCCAGTGATGTGCATGAGAGCTGTGGCTCTCTGCCTACTCATTGTCTCAATCACTGCCAGTGAAGAGAAGCAGGAGTTGACCCGAGAAGAGGAGGATTGGGGCTGCTGTGTGGAAAACCATTGCACAGAGCCCGTAAGTATAACATGTTTCTTATTTTAACCACTTCAAGTCCGGACACTTTCACCCTCCTGTCCAGGCCAATTTTCAGCTTTCAGCGCTATCACACTTTGAATGACAATTGTGCTGTCATGCAATACTACCCATATGATTTTTTTGTAGCATTTTTTTTTAGACAGATAAAACTTTATTTTGGTGGTATTTTATTCACCACTGGGATTTTTTTATATAAATATAAATAAAGTCCAAAAATTTTGAAAAAAAAGTTTTTCTTATAAAATTTTGCAAATAAATCTTTATTCATAAATCTTGGCCAAAATGTATTCAGTTCTGTTTTTAGTAAAAAAAAATAACCCAAATTAGTTCATAACCAAAAATTTATAATTTTTCAAAAAAATGTTTTACATTTTTATTTTATTTTTTTTATATTATTATTTATTTATTTTTGTACATACTGTCACCCTAGACTACACTGTACTACTTGTTGGGGGGGGGGGGGGGGGGGGCTATGAAGATTTTTTTTTTTTTTTTTTTTTTTTTTTTACACTGATTGCTTTTACACCCATAAAGGCTTTAAAAGCAATCATTTCTCCTTCTCTCTGGCTGCATTTTTGCAGCCATTGAGAAATACTGTGTGAGCTGTGATTAGTCCAGCTTGTCACATGCTACAAGGCTGTTGTGAATAGCCTTGTACCATGTGACCTCTGTGATCATTCACAGATTTCATACGTAGTAGGCAATGATGTCAGAAGTGACATCTTGCTTACTACTCTGCATGAGGTCCCGTACAACGATCGGTGTTCACAGCGGGCACCGTATCGCGGTGCTGCGCACTCCCAGGGAGCGTGCACAAGCAGCAGGCGGGGAGGCCATTTATAAACAGCCACCCGCCCCTGCGCTGCTCTCGTCCAACCGTTTATATACATGGGCCGGACGGGAAGTGGTTAATGGAAAAAAAAATCAAGCTTTACAGTCACTTCAACCAAATTTTCTGGGACCTTTCCAAATTCTTGCCTTGTTTCCTTAGCTCTAACGTGTGTGTGTGTGTGTGTGTGTGTGTGTGTGTGTGTTTTTCATAGGTTTAAGATGGTTGTTGGGCTTTTACAAAAAACCTAAAATGTAACTACAGGTCCTTTTTGTTGTACGTTGGGAGCAGGCAGTTTTTCTTTTTTTAATTGCAGAAGAGTCATGTAATGTCTCTTCTGCAAAAAAAAAATACACTTACCTGCCTGTTTGCAGTGTCCCCCACCATGTGAACTGAAGTGCACATGCGCAGCTCAGCTTACAACAGCCAGCCTGATCCCTAGTGTGCTGGCATGATGGCCTCCTGCGCATACACAGGAGTGACATCATCCCACGCTAGTCAATGCAGATGGCAGAAAATCTGCACACAAGAGAAGATGCCAGCCAGGCACAGGACCAGGAAAGTTGTGTAGAAACTCATCCTTTTAGTTCTGCTTTAACAGCCTTTTGCATTTAAGCTGTACCAAGTGCTTTTATGTGGAGTCTAAAGTGTTAATAGAAACTGCTTCACCTGCGGATGCTAACCTATCTCTTCTCTGGGTAGTCCATCCTGTCCCAATTCTCCTTTTGTAAATCTGTACATGACAACATAAATGTAATTCTTTACTAATGTATAATTGTCGCTGTGTTCATCTGTTTTGCAGCAGAACAAGGGGGTCTCACTCAGGAAGAGCTGCTGGAACAGCTGGAGCAGTGTGACCTGGCTCTAAACCCGCACCCCCGAAATAAGCCCTGCCACATCATTCAGCCACAGTGCCAACCCTCGCGCATCACTAGCCAGGTATTTTCTTTTATCAAAAGGAAAAGTATACAAAAAAAAGATGGCATGGTTACCCTCTTGACAAGCCTCCTCTTGCCCCCCAAACCTCGAATGTGAAGAGTCGGCTTGGTGTCCAGTTGGAAAATGTAGGGGTAAAAGGAGATGGTCCGTATTAGCCTGTTTGACATTCCATATTTTGTGTATTTTATTTCCCGGATGGGTTTGTTAATGTTTCATCTAATAGTCCTTCTAATGTCCCTCCTGCACATCACACATTCCCATTGGCCCATCACTATTATGGACTGCATCAGTGGCCAATAACAATGTGTTGGGCACAGAAGGAAGAAGACGAGCTTTGACTCTACCCGAAAATGTTGCGTCTTTTCTTTTTTTTTTTTTTTTTTTTTTTTCTCAGGAAGCCTTATCTCTGCTACCGTTTTACAAAGAACTGCAGCAATAACTTCTCTTATGTGTTTGTATTTTAGCTTGCAGTCTCAGCTGAGTGACAACATGCGAGATCGATTCTCCAGGCTTATGTTAACTTCCTCTCAACGCCCTCCTGCATCTACTCGCCCTACAGAAGGCTGGGCTTCAATGTGCAGCTTGCAGCCACACATATCTGGGAGTTTCAGTTCTTTGCACAAGTCGGACTCTCTCCCTCGCTCCAGCATGAGATCTAGTAAACCACAGAGCTGCCAGTTAAGGGCAGAAGGCCAGGCATTTTCTGCAGTTTCTGATCCACCATCTCCCCGCACCAGTGGCAGTTTTGTGGAGCGCTGCCAAGAGCTTGCTCGTAATACAGAATCCCAGCAGTCAGATGCACGACGTTCCAGCATT